GCCCTCGTCGCCGCCGTTGCCAGCCGCAGGCTGCCCGTATCCTACGGCCGCATACAACGCACCGAGCCCGCCGCCGCCGCCGCCGCCGCGTCGCCCGCGCGGCCGCGCCGCGGCCCGCCGTGCCTCGTCCGCCGCCAAAGCCGCGCGTGCCGCGGCCCCCGCTGTCTCGAACTCGACCAAGACCCGCTCTCCGTCGCGGACCGTGCCAGGGCCGTCGCGCCCCCACGACCGCACCTGCGCCGCCGCTGGCGCGCCAGAGAGCGTCTCATCCACGCTCTCCGCGACCGAGAAATGCAGCCGCCACGCTGAACGGCCGCGGATCTGCAACAGCACCTGAAACACGGGCGCGCCCGCGCGTTCGAGCCGCGTCTTTGCGCCGTCCCGCGCGCCGCCCGGTGCGCGGAGCGCCGCGGCGTCGCCCAGTATCACCGGCTGCACGCCGCCCACGAGGCGGGAGAGGTCGGGGTTGTGCAGCACGTCGCGCAGCGCGGCGCCGTGGGCGGTCGCGACGAGCATCACGCCGCGGCTGGCGATCTGGCGGGCGGCGGCCGCGTCGGCGGGGGAGCTGATCTCGTCGACGACGACGACTGCGGGGGTTTGAGGGGTCCGAGGTTCGGGGGTTCAGAGGTTGGAGGGCGCCCGTGCTTCGCACTTTGTCTGCTTGCTTGACAGATTCCAGGGCGTAGCCTTCGGTATCGGGGCCGGGTGCGCGCAGGCTCAAACGCGTTCAGTCATCACTTCCTCTGCACACAGCGGCCCCAGCCGCGCGACGCCGGGCCGCACACAGCCTGGCGCGCATTCGCCAGGCAGCGGGGCCGACGGCCTGCCGCCACCTTTGTGAAACTTTAGGAGGCAAGCTTGGAACAGCAACGAAATAAAAAACCAAAAATCTTCTGAAATATCTGGTTTATCCAGCATGTTTGTTGTGGCTGAATATGGGTGCTCCCTGTTTCCCCAAAACAGCAGCAGCCGCAGCAGCAGCAGCAGCAGCAGCCGCAGCCGCAGCAGCAGCTGCAGCTGCAGCAGCAGAGCCGTGCGCACCATCAGGACCGTGGTTCGTGACGGCCTCCATCATGACACTGGACTGCGGCTTGTTGCGCGGCACCTGCGAGCGAGGGGCCGTGTGCCGCGGCGGGGGCGCCCGCAGTGGACCATCAACAACCAAGCGAAGGCCGGCAGGGGAGGCCGGGCGTTCAGGTGCTGCGGCTGCCCAGATGGCTGGGCCCCACTCGCCGTGTGCGCGTTGAAACAGCAGGCGCCGCGGGCTACCCTTGGGTCCCAAGCACATTCATCAGTGTGCAAGAAAGAAGCAAAGGGGTCCCTGTGCAGATACCCAGGCGCAGCAAGGCACCAAGCGGCAGCGCACGGCATACGCGCCTGCAGCCGCAGCGCGCGCCCGATGCAGTGGTGCGGCTCGTCCCCGTCCCCCGCGATCTCGTTGCTGGTGTCGACCACCACCACAGCCAGGCCGATCTCGTCCGCAAACACGCGCGCGATATCCCGCAGCAGCGTCGTCTTGCCAACGCCCGGCCGCCCCAGAAGCAGCAGCGACGGGCTGCCGCCGCCGCCGCCGCTATCGCCGCCGCTATCGCCGCCCCGTGCTGCCACCGGGCCGCCGAAGCAGGCGCCGGGCGCCTCGCCGCGGTGTGCACGCCCCATATGCTCCAAAACGTCCCGCAGCGGCGCCGCCGCGCCCGCCGCGTGGCGGCCGGCGCGGTAGGTGATCCCGATGACGTCACCGCGGCGGCTGACGGCCGCGCTCACGCGGTGCAGGCAGCCGGGCAGAGCCAGCCGATTGTCCGCATCAAACAGCCCCCGCCACGCCCCCGCCCCATCTGCTTCCGCACC